GGAGGAGTCGGAGCAGCGTGGCCGGGAGGGGCTGCTCTGTCATCAAAAACACAGGTTTAAAAGAGGGGAGGGTTGATTCAACGTAGGGAGTTTGGTTCAGCAGACCTTGACCGCCGTGAGGCGGGTGGGGACGCGACGTAGATGCGTCTGCTGTGGTTCCCTACGTCCATCATGAATCTCTATGGTGTCAACCTGTTGCACCTCCACTTTTATTCCTTTACAGATTTGGCTAGGTCGTTCAGTTCCGATTTAACCTACCAGTTTCTTCCCCTTCAACCAACGGAGGCTGAAATAAGGAGCCTGGAAGTTCTGTCCTCTCTCCTGTCCGCAAACAATGCTTTTGGCATCTATTCGGAGTCACCCTTCTTACGACCTGTCACCCTCCTGCGGCCCGTACAGTTTGTCTTCCCAACCAAAGTTGTCTTTCAATATCCGGATCCCGAGAACATGGTCCGTACGTTGCGTGATCTAGCAGACCAGAAGGTGACTAGCCTCCCCCTGCTGGCTATCCTCTCGGGTAGTAAGCCGAATGCTGCGTCCCTGGGTTTCTGCACGGACTACCTGACCTACAGTTTCACCTTAAAGCTCGACGTCAATACAATGCGCCTTCTGATGGATCAACCACAGCCAAACAGGTGTGTTTGCGCTTTGTGCTTGTCCGTTTACCCGTTAATCAAATTTTAATACATTATTTTATCGGTTATCCGGTTGGCCAGCTAAATAGGTGTCTGGTTCTGAGCTCTTGATTGAACATGCTAATGCTTGCATTGCTGCCCTCCCAAAGCCCATTAATCTGCGGTAAACTTAGAAGGTGGTGGGAATGAATGTATGCCCCGTGCCTCGCCAGTTTCGGCATTCCTCTGCGGAAGCTTGAGGTCAGACGTTGCCAGTTAATTGTTCTCTAACATTCTCTATGGAAGTGAGTAATAGGCAGAAGAAAGGGAAAATCAAAAGAACCGCGGATACTCAGTCCGGACAATCACACACGTTCTCGCATTCGTGGAGGCCGGTAACTGTACTTTCGACGGCCTTTTTACTTTTAACATTCCATTGAGAGCCCAGCGGCTGAGACTAGGCTTCAAGAAGTTTCACGTCACTCGCCCGATCTCATAATCCTCGATGTAGTTTAAATCTCATTCAGTTCGATTATAAGTAGAATCACGATGTAAATCACTCGTCGAATTCCGTTTCCTTGCTGTCACTAAACTTTCCTCGGCCTTTATTTAACCGACAATTTATTTTAACCTCTTTTACTTTTAGTTAGACCTTGGTTAACTAAGACATTTCTATAAAATTACCGAAAAGACTCTTCAGAAAGACATGGCTTTCCTTTGATATTTAAACCTGCTGTCTCTGTACTTTAGGCGCACTGACAAGTACCGTCTCATTCTTCGGATGGCCTGGGCCACTACCGGACTTTACATGCCAGGTGACAAGTCCAATCCATCTCGCGTTCTGGCCTCGGAGGTGCTACCGCATTGTCTCTCCGTCCGCGTTGCTCGTCGCAATGTCACCCTTCCTGATCCCATCTTCCATGGTGGCCAGGCGCAGAAATTTGGTCGTCGTCTCCGTTTCGCAATTGACATCACAGACAAGGTTGTTTTCTTTTCCTTTCTGTGCGCTGCATACCCTGACTTGGTCAGTTTAAACGTTCAAAAGAAGAAGACGGTTCAATGATCGGGGATGCAGTTTTCAGGGTTTCGATCTCGCACTCGAGTCCATTATAAGGGAGTTAAAACTTGGCCAACTTTGCTCTATGTCGAGTTTGTCCAGTCTGGTCAGTTGCTGGTTGCGCATCAGGATGGACGTCCGTTTGCCATGCCCTGTTTCTCATTGTCCGCATGCTGGCCTAAATCGACCTACTAAGAATAAATACGACAGCAGGAATATTTCCCACTACTCAGTAATGGACCATGACAAGAGTTTGAAACGTCAGTTACATATACCTTATCTGCAGTTGAATGTATCCCTTTATTCTGAGTTGAGCACCGGAACATGGTTTTTCACATACTCTGGTCGACCTAAAAGAGCTGAAATTAATGGAGATTTCATATGAAAAGAAGCGGATGTGATCGCTGGGACAAGCACTTTATTCGCCCGACATTTCAGATTCCGTCGCATATGCATCATCGGATAAAATAGCAGAAACGTTAGTTCATACACAGAGTTTCAGTATCTATAGGATACAATCACTGTTTTACTGCATGCCTGTGACACTTAATGGTTCTCTCCCATCGCGCATAGTTACTTACTTCTGCGCTAATTGCTTGATGGCCGACATGCGGTTCGTGACCTCCCGAACTTTACTCAATCGTTCTGGATTTAAGCGTGATAATTGCTCGGCTACCTGACTCCCTGGCGCTGGCTTTAGAAGATGCGCTCCCGAGTGGCGAATTGCTTTGGCCAAACTGACACTCAGTACTGAGTATGAGTTCGGCAGGTCAGTGCACTTGTTTATGAACTTGGGCCCCGTAACCCATGATTCAAGCAACTCGCGAATAACACGATTATCACCTCTCGCGAGAATTTCGGCCTCATCAAATTTGAATGTGTGGCCGGGTCTCGACGGATCAGCCGCAACATGAGAATTGGCGTCATTTCTCCGCGCTGCTGTCGCATGTTCGGCAATTCGTGTCTTGAGAATTCTTCTAGTTTCTCCGACGTAGTTTCCCTGTCCGCAACTGCACCAGATCCTGTAGGCGACTCTAGATGTTTCTTACCGTAGCAGTGTGACCTTGGGTTTCATTATGTGACGCCTTATGGTTGCCTCCAGTCTGTTAATAAAACCAACTGCCACGGCAAGAAATATCAGACGTCGTCAGAAACTTCAAGCGGATAAAGTTCTTGCCCCAGCGATCACATCTGCTTCTTCTCAATTACTTCCTGGGACTCGCATTTTCGCCTATATATCTATTTGTTCTATTTTCGTAGCGATGTATTTGCTGCCCAGATCAGGTAGAAGTTCACAGATGATAGATGTGAAAAAGTCCCAAATTTGTTCAACAGAAGGTAAATATTAATTTGATAGACATGTGTTAGAGATGATTCCCGGACACCGTCAGTGGACAACAGCAACTATACTTTCACACGTGCCTATCGTTTCCACTCACTTACAGTATGCGCTAAAAACCGTACAACGTTCATAACTTTGTAAAAGTTTGATCATTAATCGCATACCGGTTTGAATGCATTTACGAAAACTTAAAAATGATAATGAACAGCATTAGGCATATTTAAAACTTAAAAGAAGTATAAGAAATACTAAGTGTTTTCTAAGAAAAATAAAATTTTCCCGATAATCCCTAAGTTCCGGAGACGTAAAAATAACTATAAATTAGAAAGATAAATTTAAATATTTTATTAATCTGAAACATTTACGTAACCACTTTCTTTACATAGAAAAACTTTTCTTTATTCAAAATTTTGTGTGCAAATTACCATTAATATACAACTATTTATTTAATATCGTCCTTGAAATTGTGGAATCATTTCCTGCATTTTCAGTGTCTTCATTTGTTCATCCATCAATTGATCTTCTGTTCGACGTTAACATCGAAACCTTTAAAACATGACATAGATAAAGAACAAAAAGTTAGTTTTTGGATATTAGTTCTTATGAAGATGGCCATGTAGATCATATTTAGAAATGCCTCAAAACAGCAAACCAAATTGTCAAGCATACAGAACGTCCGCAAGAAAACTGGGATATTGTTATGCCTAGGATTAATAGAAAACTTTCTACAATAGGTTGCCTCTTTAAAAAGTGCTTTAATTGGATATTCAGCTGACGAATTTCTGTGTATATTAACTTTTTACAATTTAATTTTACAATGAAATTGGAGACTAGACATCTTTTAAAAGCTTCTTGAAGATAACCGATTCAATTTGACTGGAAATGAAAGGGCTTACTTTTTTTATAATGGATTATTTTCCGCCATAGTGGATTACTTCCAGGATCTGTTTTAAGCTTCCGAATGCAAAAATAGTGGCCATATATGGCCATTTTTTGAAATAATTATTGTTCGTTTGTCTGTTCCGTTTCTAAATAACGCATAAACGGAACGGCTAATTACAATAAAGTATATTTCTACATGCCTTACATTCAGCAAGGCCTTCTTTACATTACCTCCGCGGTAACATATGCGAACACTGTTTATTCGCCAAGGTGAGCGATGCGGTAAAACAAAATGTGACGAAAACTTTTTGTTACTCCATTTTGGGCAAAAATCTTCACAGGTTATCTAAACCTAATTTTAAAAATTAAATTGTTGCCTGTTTCTGAAAAATATGCGATTCCTTCAACTTGGCTTCACTTGCATCTGAATAATTTCGGACAAAGTTTTCCAGTTCTGAAGGGGATATCTTTTATACCTTTTTACTTATTTTAGAGTTCCTTCATAGTTTAATCCACACTAATAAAACGTTTACTTCTGTCACAGGTAATAGCATAGGAAATTCCTTCGATCCCAAAATTAATGCCCATTTCTCTTAATAAACCTAATTAAAATGGTGATTTTCTTAAATAAAAGGCTTTCGCAGAATTAAATCCACTGAATGAAAGCGCTGAGCGGGAACTTTGAAATTGGTTTGGAATTTAAGCTCTTTGCGCTTACAAGGTTTTTAGTCTCTACCTTAGTGTAGAAGACAAATCTGGCTGAAAAAACTGACAAAGGAACTGCGTATTGTCTGCCCTTTGGAAATATCCTTTCTGAGTGAGACGAATCCTTT